GGGGTAGTCAGCTTCTGTTGTGACTCTTGCTGCCTGATGCGAGGACTCCCGTGGCCTACCCGATCTTCACTTTCCGCTGGCTGGCCATCCATGCCCTGGTGGTGCCCACGGTGTTCTTCCTCGGTGCGATCAGCTCCATGCAGTTCATCCAGCGCTGATTCATCCATGAATTTTGTGAGTGAGATCACTCAATTTGTCTGCGTAGACACACAGCCCGGCTTTCGTGAGTCGCAGAAACGAGAGAAAAAAAGGCCTCTCGCTGTTGCCCCTTGTCCAGAGAGATGACAGAGCGCCGAGGCCCGAGACCATCTTGCTCCAGGCCATCCAAGCAGGCGACACACGCCAGCAGAGCCAGGTCCGGGTGGGAAGCTGCTGCCAAATTCCTGCAGATTCTGGCCGGGCTTGATTCGTAACATCTCGGCAGGACAAGGATGTGCACACCCACTTCCGCTTCCTATGGGAAACCTACAAGGCCACGGACTGACCTCTGAGCTGACAAGAACACGATAAGGTGTCGAAGCCAGGCGTTTCCTGCAACCTCACATGAAACGAGTGTTTTCGAGACGTGCCGGAAGCTTTTCCACCCAGGCCAGGAGCCAAACGATTATTCCTTGGATTGGCACAGTAGGCAGCTAGATGTCATTCTGCTGTTTCGAGCGCCTTCAGCTCTGTCACGGCGTCTGGGGTTGCTTCGTGAGAGAACCTTTTTTGAGTTGACTGCACTATGCTGTTGCTGTGCTGTGGTGTCGATTGGCTCCTTCCAAGATGTAGTAGTTTCCGTGCTAGTCTGCTAGTGCTGCGGCTCCGAAGCCAAACTCGGGAGGGGGCCTGGCTCCTGCTTTGTATGCTGTTGGAAGGTGATCTTGGATGTGCTGAAGTCCAACAGCCGACTTGAGGAGGCTCTTCAGTTTTTCGTTCGTGTTGTAGCCAGCAGATTCAGTTGGCCACGGGTTTGTCGACTGCAAGAAATTGTCAGGAAGCATGAGTACTTGACAGGCTGAGTTTGTTTGGTGTATTTTGATCTTTGTGGGGTGTTTGGCTGAAGATTTCAGGAAGAAGGTTCTGGGGCTCAGCGAGCTGATTTGCGCTGTTGTGGTGTTCCTTGGTATTCGGGAAAATGTATGTCTCAACCGCGTAGGAACGAGGCGATTGATTAGTTTTGGCACTCGAGTCGAGATGTCAGATGGAGTTTGCTTCAGTGGTTTTTGGTCGAGGGATTTTGGGATTCCTTTGTCGGGACGTTTGCAGAATCCTGGTTAGCTTGTGCCTTGCTGCGCCAAGCACTTTGTATTGAGCTCTTTGGTAGCCCCACTGTGGCTGAGGCACTACTCTCAGGTGTAAAAGTCGTTGCGCTATCCGCCTGTACACACACGACCTTCGGGGGAACGGTTTGGGCGGGTCGTTGCGTTTAAGCGTCACCAAGGGGATTCGGAGTCTGACCAGGCATCTGCTGCTCGTAAGCCATTTTGACTTCGCTCCAATCGATGGGCTATTGGTGCTCTGGAATTGATGCCCTTAAGACCGTGAAGACCCGCATAGATCTCCCCAAGGAGGCAAGCCCCTGCCCACAACTCCTGAACTTGCGAGTCGCTGGAAGCCACTCTTAGGGAGGGCTTCGAAAGATGTGCTGCAAGAAGGTGCTGGTTTGCATGCATCATCCCGGCTCTTTTGCCGGACGCCGTATTTCTGACAGAAGCAGAAAGGAGGAACACAACATGTTTGGTAGTTTGAAGTCCTCGATTCGAACATGCAGCCAAGCCAGTTTAGGTCTCAGTGTTTACAAACCAATATCCTTTTCTCTTTTGCATACGTGTCTGCTTGGCTTCGCCAGTCTTGCGAGCAGGTCTATCATGAGACTTCACGACAAGCTTTCGAGTTCTGCCGCGCAAACACACGGCCTCAGGAGCCAGGGACTCAGGATGTAGGAGGGACTCGATGTGAGCACCGGGCCTCGGAACCAGCACAAGCTACGAACGGCCAAAGTCAGACATGGCGAGCCATTGAGTCGGTAGCACGTCTGTGCTGATGTTGTCGTCCGCAGTACAGGTTCAAGCGCCTGTGCGATATTCTCAGGAAGAACTTCCAGGCAATCGCCTTGATATTTTGTGCTGATTCGACCTGCAGTGTCCCAGTCATGCAGAGGGAGGCAGTGCCGTGATCTCATATAGACCATATCATAGCGAAACAGTTCCCTCATGTCTCCGATGGTAAGCATATCATGCGTCCTTGTGTGACTACCGGCCAGGACCTTTCCAAGCGCACCGGTCCTACTGGACAGAATCCGGTGCGCCAGAAATCTGAAGTTGATTCTAGGGCATCCAGGTCCATGTAGTAAGGTTTTGCTACATGGGCTCGGTGACGTGTCGTTCTTCTCCTGTATCAACTCCAGCAAAACACATGGCAGTGGTGTGGTGTTCTTGCTTGTTGTCGCGGCAGACCGTGGTACGATGTGCACACGTTGATCGGCAACAGTGTGTATCAGGTGCAACCCAACAACGTGGACACTATCACGAAGACTCTGGAGACGCGGGCCTCCTAGTTCTCGAGCCACAGACCCCAGCCTAGATTCAGAAAGTCTTGCGTGTAGAAAGCACATGAAAGCACAGTACCGAGGCGTTGCCGTCAAATGCAAGTTGCTACAGAGCCGCCGTCCAAGCTGAACTTTAAAGTTTCAGGGCAGCTACAGGCCATGCTCCCATGCATTCCGCACAGAGTAGCTTTTCAGAGTCGTGTGCTGCCTATTATTTGTTGGCATCGTTCTCAGTTGGCAGTTGCAAATGAGGCTAGACCTTTGGCGTGGCAGCCTCGGGACAGTCTGACAACTTGTGGACAAGTCATCGGGAGTTGGAGAGTTGATATGTTCGCAAGGTGAGGCTTACAACACCTCCTCAGAGATCTGCGATCTCATGACGGCTCTTGGAAAGGCTGTGCTGTTGATTCTGTTCAGAGTGCTGATTCTGCACAGATCCCATACTTGCATGCATTGTGGGAAGGTCAATCAGCGACCGAAGCCACACCTTAGGCCGGCAAACGTCGCTGCTAGTCGTTCTGCCCGGTGTTCATCTGTGCAGATACAGATCAATTGACTTCATCGGGGCTGTGGAATTTGGGTTTTTGGGTTTCACGAGTCATGCTGGGATTGAGTCAATGTGCAACTTGCTTGTTGGGCAACAGGTCCATGTACTACGAGCATCTCGGCCAAATCTTCTGGAAGAGCGAGAACTACCTCTTCCATGCCTTCGCTAGCCTGAAGAACGTCTTCTTCGTAAAGGTGCGAGCCAACGCCCGGTGTCTGGCTGTTTCTCAAGTATGCCGATTTTGCATTGCACACGACGACGTCCGTTTGTTTTTCGCTGCCAGGGGTGATAGGTGCTCCTATGCGGGCCGTTGTGGGTTGTGGCAGTTTCCTGACCATGCCCTGATGCGCGCTTCCTCAAGCTGGTTTGTTGTACATATTGTGAGCCTGAAGGCCGCCATAGTTCAAATGCTTGTCGCAAAAGCGAGCTATTTGTCTGTATGGGCAAGCCTTGCTTTCCCGTACTCTACCCACAGATGTATTAATTAAAGGTAAACGTCGAAAGCTAAGAGGACTGGTCACTGTGAGATCTGACCTGCGACACTACCTCAAGAGCTAGAGCCTCCGCTACAGGAGGCTTATAGGAGAGATGAAAGCTGGTTAATTCCTTGCATCATGGGACGGTCTGATGACGCTGCCCAAGGCGAGGCGAACAGTGCTGCTACATGATGTTTCCGTCGCTAGATGGTTTGCACCCATTGGCACACAGTCAGGGCATGTGAGGGCTTGACCCTGACTCCAGCCAGCACCAAGTCGAGATCTGCGTACAGCTGCGCCAGGCAATTGTCGGAGGATCCTCCTCGCGCAGTGTGCGTTACACGCCGCTTGCACTCCGAGTGGGTATTTGCCGTGAAAGGTGTGCAACCCTCGAGTGGCTGCTAAACAAGCCGTGTTTGTAGATGCTGCCGAGACTTTGCTTCTAAGGATGCCACGTCGGATGATGGTAGTGCCGCGGAAGGTTACGAGCCAGTGAGGCCGTTGAGGTTCGATGCCCTGCAGCGGCAGCAGCCACCAAGGCAGGACGCATCACACGCTTTAACTAACGCGCTGTTCGGCTCTTTTCTGCAGAAGCTGGGAGCTGGGAGGGGGCCAGGGGCGGGCGATGGCGGGCGAATGGTTCAAGCACCGAACTTTGACGGGTCTGCAGTACTAGCAGTACGGGCGAGCAGGGGGTGTCATGAGGGGGGGATCGCCGGAAACAAGAAGGCCTCACGCAGCCAGTGCCAACACAAATGGTGTTGAAGCCATGTGCCACTTGAAGACTGGCCCCTGGTCGGCTACATTCCATGCTGTTGGCAGCTTGCATGGGCATGCCATGCAAGACTGATCAATGTGGCTGAAAGTTATACCAAGACAGGTTGCTAGGGCTTGTTGTGGATTTGATCAGGTATGTTCGTGCAGCTTCGAATGAAAGCTGAAAGTTGCAACAGACCTGCAAGGCGACCAGAGATCGACAGCAGTTTAGAGGCTTGGCACGAATAGCTGGTGGATGCGGATCTATTATCACGAGTCTGGTATTCTAGCTCCTTCTGACAGCAACTATGTAACCAAGGAGGCCGAGCCTCCTCCGTTCGGCGAGAAGGGGGCTGAAGCGGGCAAGCAGACTGAAAAAGACGCTCGTTGCAACTGAAGTCTGAGATTGTTGGTCGGCAGTGTTCGATCGTGATTTCACTGAGTATGATCTACGCAGCGCTTCAGTGCCCAGGAGTAATGCCACTTTTATTTTAGCAAAAGGCAGTCAGCGATTTTGCCGAACTTCTTTCTGCTACGGGAAAGAGACATGCGGCAAGACGGGGGGGTGGGCGCGGTAGACAAGGTTATGACGTTGGAGTAACGCGACGGAAAACTTGTGGAAGTGATTTACAGGATGCCCCGCTTCCTTTCGCACAGATCGGAGTGGGTTACTCAGGCGATAACGGCAGCTGCTAGCTTCTCACCGGCCGGCAGCATGTAGGACACCAAGCAACGATCTTCATCCAGACCTCGAGCTCAATCATTGGGCGTCATGGCTTCCCATCACGGCCAGTGTTGAAAACTTGATGGCCTTGTAAATGTAAGCTATCTCACAGCGAGAGCTCCGCTTTGGGCTGGGTCATTGATATGGTTGCATCTCAGCACACATGCTTTGCTTTGGCTTCGTGAGGTGTTAGACGTCGCGTGTATGTGTGACGGCCTTTTTTCACGGGACTGTAAGGCGAACGGCAGATCCTGCAAGTTGGACCTGTCAGCGAGAAATCGCCATTCCGGAGTGCATCTGGAACTGTCGGCACTTTCACTTGTTGCGATATACGAGCTGTTTTTGGCTTCCTGTCTTGCACGGCAAGCTGCAGCTGAAATCTTGGGAATCTGGGGTGTATGCGGCAGGCCTCAAGGCCGCAGTTTTTTTTAAGGGAGCCAGGTTGGTGTATTCAACCCTTTGCAAAATCTGCTCAGATCCGTCCAACACATCCGCAAAACATGAGCTTGTCGCTGGTCCCCTCGTTTCCTCGCGCGTGAGACTCGAGTTTCGAACAGCTCAAGCGGAGCTGTTCTTGTGGAGCGCAGTTGTCCAAGGAGACTGCGGATTGTCCTATTTGTTGCGAAGATCTGGGACGATCGCCACAGGCGAGGAAGAGCAGGGCGGTGGGTTCGCGGCTCATAGACATAGCTGCAGGCAGCTTTATGCACTAGGGTAGGCGATTGTTGGGCATCGTGATGAGTCCCGCCTCGTTTGCAAGGAGGTGGGGGCTTTGACCTACCAGGGCAAGAGGATCGAGAGAGACCTGTACCACGTAGGCTGGTGCTTTCGTCTCCGGTGGGCTCACTGTCGGCAACTGCATGGCGCTGTCGTGCAGGCTGCTTCACCTTGATGCTCAGCCACAAGGGGGCGTTTTCAGGGGAGCGGCTGAAGGACCAAGACGTCTCGAAGAGCATCTTAGCATGGACAATGCAGGTTTTGGACAGACGTGCAGTTTCGGCTAAAGTCCTCGTTTCAGCCGTCTTGGAAGGACGGCTGCTTCGACAATCTCAAGATCGCCTGGGGACAAAGCCCGACTACGCGACAAGAAGTGGAGCCTCGGATACTTTCTGTTTCTTGACTGCCGGCTAGAGATGACGGCTCAGCACGTTCCCCGAACGGTCAGGATGGCTTCGTGAGTATGCCCTCCATGAGTGACCAGAAAGCCTTGATCGCGTTTCTGGACTGGAAAGGCGCGGCCCACGCACACTAGCAAGCCTGCTAAACTCTGCTAGTCTCTTTGAGCCTGGTGTAGTGCAGTCAGAAACACGTAGCCGCCCAACGCAAGCCAACGGCAGCTTACTGCAGGCACAGGGCGCTTGGACGTTTCAGAGCTTGCCACCGTGGCAGCGGTGCAGCTGCCACTACACGCAAGGGCCATGGACAATTTCATCCGCGAGAACTTTCAGGTGCGCAATGCGCATTTGGCAGCATCAGTTTGAGCAGAGGCTTGAGTCCGATTTTGCTTGGCTCAGGTGGATGGAGATGGCAATATTACGGTCGAAGAACTCGAACAGAAGGCGAGGAAATTCAGCATTTGGCATGGAATTGCATTGCAAAAACTCACTTGGATCTACATCGGTAGCATTTGCAACAACCCATCATGTCACAGTGACATACAGTGACCAGGTTTTGCCCTACATCGGGGAGCACTTCGAGTCCATTACAAATGCGAAAGAGGAGGACCCACCTATATCGGCTCTTCCGGTGCTTCTACCAAGGCTGTGAAGATCGAAATTTGATTCCTGAGTTCGCAAGCCAGCCGCTGCAACTTCTCTCGTCTCTAGTCACTCTTTCATGGGAGCCCGAACCGGAACCCAAAATAGCGGGAACCCGGACCTGGCCCGCCTGGGCGCAAGAAGAACGATATCCCCTTTGAAGGAGAAGAAGAAAGCTGCCAAGCTTCGATGTGAGCCTTGCTTCAGTTAAGAGCGCAGAGACGCATTCCATGGAGCACGCAGAATGACGTGGAGGCGGTTGCTGGGCTGGAGGCTGTGCAAGCCGGAAAGTGTTCCCGCGATGCAGCCAAGGATTTCCTGCTGATGCGACTGGACTCCGCGGTAGGGGGTACGATTGTGGCTTCGTCGACGCAGTCGAAATGGCGACCTGGACGAGAAAGCTGGCAGGCCCATGTGGTCTGTGCACTCTGCAGTTGCTTGCTCCTCCAGGGTTCAAGCAGCTCTGGACGAGCTCTCACAGTGTGTCTTGGCCGGATCCAGGGGTGATCGCTGATCCTTGGCTCGGGGGGGGATTTCCCTTTGTAGCAGTTGCCCGTGACTTGACTCCTCGCGTCAGGTGTCGCACAGGGCGACCCGATTGCTGTCGCCGTGGTCTCTCGCCTGATGACCCATCCAGAGCCAGAGGTCAGGTCCAAGGCGCCGCTGAGGGTTGACGCAGACTGCGGCTCCTCGCAGTGTGCAATAAATCCTGGTCAACAGAGAATAATGTCTGTCGTGACGGCACGGACATGCATCATTGCTATTGATTTGTTGCAACTGGCACAGGCCGCCCAGTTGCTGCCAAAGATTGTCACGAAAGGTGCAACACAGAGTGTCTAGTTGTTACATGTTCTCCGATGTGCGAAAGCATTCAAGCGCTATTCGAGCACAGACCACGATTCAAGCACTGGCCATTCAAGTGTGGGAACTCAAAGCACATGCGCTCAATGTGTTTGGATGTTTGAGGTTTGGCGATTCTACGATTTCTTTGGTGTTTGGGTTTGTGCATCCAGCAGCAAGTTGACAAAGCCTGCACCATGTCCGGCATGCACTGTCAGGAGATCCTCAGGCCCGGGTGAGGGGTAGAGTGAGCAGCTACAGCTAGAAGCGTGTGGCCCTTCGCTGAGCTGCGAAAGCTGTGATCAGGCCTTCGAGTCGCTCTCGGCAGCTCTCGGGAACGATTCGAGCCAAGTGCGCGAGCTGGTGGTGGAGGTGCTGGTAACGAGCTTCTGTCAGACTTGGAGATTGCTTTGTGGTTGAACGGAGAGCAGGTTGCCA